ATCTCGCCGGCGCCACGATCAAACGTTCGCGTTCGCGGATGGGCAGGACCTCGGGCAGCGCATATTGCCAGTTGATTAGGGAGATCAACAAGGAGGACTGGTATGGGCGCAGGAAAATCTGGCAGCTGCACTGACGAGATGTCATCTGGACAGATGAAACGTCTGTTCAACTTCAAAGTCACAGACAGCATTGTAGACTGGATGCCAACCTCGACCAAAACCCAGGTATGTAGGAAAAGCACACCCGAGGGTGTGCTTTTTCATTTTCATTTCGCTAGTAGCTCGTGGAGAGTCTGTCACGGGCTAGCTACAGCAGTAGATAGCATGCGGGAGTTGATACACGCCGTTTGTTTCAGAAAACCCCACATATTTTTCGACCTTTATCCGACGCTGAAGACGTGGTATCGTTTGTGGAGCGATTGATGGCTCGTGAAGTGAGATGTCAGGGTACCGGACTGACTGACAGACACACACGACAACTACCGTAACCCTCGCTGCACATGAGCACCGACGGTTAACAATGAGGGTTGATCTATATGCACTAATGGAAAGTTGGTAACGAAGTTCTACATCTAGCTCTTCCTCTGCCTTCTGATTTTGCTGCAGGCATAGTTTATGGCATCTGTGCATGATTTCCAGATAGGTCGAAAGCCAGGAGAAGAGGTGGTCATCATAGGATACCGGTGCTGAATGATTGTTTCCTTGATCAGTTCAATCCCTTCCTGGGGAAGGGGATCATTTCTCTTAGACCCTCATGTTCCCAAAGACCTCTTAATACTTTCAGTCCTCCACGCGACACACGCGGTGTTTTTCTGCAGGGTGTTTTTTTCCATAGACTTTCTGACATACTGCTGCAACTTTTCCACTAATTTTACTACAACTCATATACATTACTAGGAATGCGCACACGCATATTTTGCCTCGCGCCTGCCAGCCAATGCGTAAACACTCCGACTGAGGCCGCTCGTGCGCGCGCTCTACTGACTGTGCGCAGGAAGTCTGGCACAGCGGAAGCTAAACTTCCTACGAATAACGGAAGTGACATTCCTAAGCTGGACTAATTGACATTCTTAAGCGTGACGACACGTATGTACGTATATACGTACGGAGTAGTTGCCTCACGCTAACGCGCTCGGCAATAATGTCCCCCGTTATATTTTACCTTCCACGCTGTTACATACAGATTCATTCTCAAGCCCAGTCATTATATAATGTCGGTTGAAACGGGACTCTGTTCACAATGTTGTAGCACGGAGTTTTGTGGTGATGTGGTGGTATATGTTGTTCCTGGGGTCCGACTGCATGTGTATGTCATATCAATCTGGTGTTGTGGGGTCATGTTCGCTGTATCAATCAAACATGTGATTTGCAGCCTTTATTAGTAAGCATGGGATGGCTCAGAAGACTATGACATGAAAGTAGTGAAGCGATTCATTATAATTCTGATTAACAACCGAAGCAAGCCTATGTACATAGTCATCTGAATGCAGTTGATAATACCTTCCTTTTTTGTATGACTGGCAATGCACATACTTCAAGCATGCTCTGCTTTACTAAGTGGGTTTGAGCCATAATAGAACCAAATATCACGTGTGTGTGCGAGCAGTGCAATTTTCCTGCATTGAACGACGTGCAATTTTTACCCGTTTTTAGGAACATTAACCCTCGGTGTGCATACGTAGCGAGGGTTACCGTAGTTGTTGCGTGTGTCTGTCGTCTGTCCTGACATCTCACTTCACGAGCTATCAATCGCTCCACAAACTATACCACGTATTCGGCGTCAGTCGAAAAATATGTAGGGTTTTCTCTGAAACTGCTGCGTTCGAGAGTTGTGGTGTGAAACACGAGCGAAAAAGCCAATTGCTAATTAGAACAGGCTTACTTAGAGCGGGTCCCCTTGCTCTGTGTATCTTGTGAAGGGTGAAATTTCACGTGATCCGTGGACAAAATGCCTCAACACTCAGTTAGATAAGCCTTCTAAACACACCAGCACCAACTCTCGGGGCCATCTCTAGTAACAAGTAAGCCCAAAGCGTCCATCTATGCCTCCACAGTTGAGGGAAATGTAGACTGATACCAAGCTATCTTTCTTCTCCTGCAGTACATCTCTATGGTAGATCATGGGGCTCTTCACGGTAGAGATACTGAACGACGGCATTTTGCTGCTAACTCAGCATGCACGGTGGGGGAGTTGTCTGTGTGTGCGTGCGTATGAAATGCAGTGTGCGCGGCAAACAGTTGCATCACAACTTATTTACCGACATCTCCTTTTTGTTGGGGCTTTGCCCAAATGAAAAAATGAGTGGAACAAGTGGAAAATATAATTTCTATGAAATGAAGGGGATGTAGGGATGTCAAGTCATTATAAAGGAAGGGAACAAGAAGATGCCTACACCAAGACAGATAGCTAGTCATTCATAACCCCATCCCTACATTCTTTTTTAGCCTCAGAAATGTTTGCTAGTCATGAATGCATTAGGCAATGAAAAGGCCTCATAACATCCAGATGTGTATATACATGAACTGCGGATCTTGAAAAATGTAGGGATGGGGTTATGAATGACTAGCTATCTGTCTTGGTGTAGGCATCTTCTTGTTCCCTTCCTTTTTAATGACGAGACATCACTACATCCCCTTCATTGCATAGAAATGATTTTTCCACTTGTAATTATATAGCTTGGGCATGTAAATAGATTCTATACCACTTATTTCCACTGTATTGCAAGACGTGTGCTCGGAACACAGTGTAACTTTCACTCGGGTACAAATAAGGTAATGTAAGGCTAGTATGCATGTGCTGTACCTCATTCTCAGAAGAATCTTTTGCTGTGGTGACAAACTGGTAGATGGATGGAGTGAATAACATGAAGAAGGTGTAGGCAAGAGCTAGTAGTAATATAATCACAATCGGCCAATTGTGGTGTGGAAACCTCTCTTCCGCATTTCTGGGCCCTGGTAAGGTAATCAGACTAAGTTATGCTTTGATGTTAGAGTGGCAGAATGGGATGTACAACCGTTTCATGTAAGGACACTCAAAAGTTTGACATAGTGCATGGAAATCCATGAAAAAAAGTTAAGCTAGGAGAAGACTAGTACAGGGTTAGATTGGTAGCTACCAAGACTAATTCTTCATTGCCTCCTCTCTGTTACCTTGACCTGGCAACTAATAGATACCCCAGTTCTCTATTTACCCTTTGCCACTGCGACTCAATCCCACTGGGTTGCGTACACTTACTCCTGGCGCATAAGCACATTCTTGAAGTGACTTCTGGTCTCCAGTTGATTGCAGGATTGCAGGACTGCAGGTGTTCCGTGCCAAATTAACGAAACTACGATGGAAAACGAGAAACGCGAAACACGAACAAGGAACGGAGAACGAGAAACGGGAAAGTTACTTCTGGGCCATCGTACTGAAGCCACGCCACTCATTAGCAATCGTGGAGCCCCGCCTCCGTGGGTAGGCAATTAAAATTTCGTCGCCTCGCTGCTAGGTCGGTAGGTATATACGCAGTAGCGTTCTATTTTAACCATAATATTATATTTTGCTGCTATTTTCATTCCTTGGATGTTTTTGGACCATGCATGTGCTGATCACTGTTAATGAGTCAAATAGCCATGTTATTATGTCCGTCTTGTTATTGCAATTGATAGAAATTCCATTGTCAATTGTGCAACCAATAGTGATAGGACTAGCTGCATCACCCTTTTCTTTGCTCTGTCTGCAACCTCATCTGCTTCCAAACCAAAGAATTGGTTTGGTTTCACATCATCTAAAATTTTAGTCAGGATACTGCCCATAAACTCAAGAAGTTCGTCTTGGATAAGTACTGTAGCTAAGTAGCATTTTTTACACACTGCTTTTACTTCAATACAGTATATATTATCTCCTGACTCTATTCTGAATTCAACCAGAGCACGGAATTTTCCCTTATTGATATCATCGGAAGTTGAATCATCTCGGTGACCTCCAAGTGCAATTCCTTGCCGTCCACACATCTCCAAAACACTTAATGATGGAGGTCAGAACTTTTCACAAGCTTCTGGCTTTCGTCAGTAACTCCAAGTAAACTCTAAGACTAGGGTTTTCCATGGTCGATACAAAAGCACTGAGCCTGGCCCCAGTACCTTGGTGGTAGCTAATGCCACTGTGCATGAGCCATCAAATCATACAAGGACAGCAAGAGGAAGGGTGGAACCTATACCAAAGGCGCTGTAACAGCGAGTGGTTTAACTCTGCAGGGTCAATTTTGCCTGGCGTGGGTTCTCTCCCCTACTAGCGGTGCACATAAAGGGGCATCTCGGGTCCAGTACCAGTGACCACACCGTACCACAACTGGAAGGATGGAAAAGCTGGCTTCCTCTCCTGATGAGATATTTTACCTGATCAGGTACGGTCGTGACGGTCACCTCCGTTTCAGGGCGAAACAAGCTCATATCGCGGACCACAGAATCCTGCATGTTGTTTTCAGCGGAAACTGAGCATTCTTCCTGAGCTTTACGCTTTGGTACAGGAGAAAAGAAGCTGGTGATCGACGCAGCCTGCTGCTTAGTCGCCATTGAAAGGGTTCATAGCATGCGCCACAGGCGCGCCGCGGGAGCCTGCGCGCGGGAGGGGGGCGACCGATCCGAAAAGAGGGGGGGGTGGGGTCGGGGTCACGTTCCACCTGTGCTCCCCGGTCCCCTAGATCCGCTCGTGCCGTTCTCTGTGCCGAGCACGAATTTCGAACGATTGCCAAATGGATTGGGCCCCGTTCCGGAAAGAACGGAAGCCCAATTACTCACTCAATGGATCCAATTTCACTGGTCCTAGTGCTGAGGCCTCCCTGATAGACAGTAATCCAAACGGATGCGCAGTTACGGACGTAGAATCGCGTTCGCTCCCGCTCGCCGATATTTGATGTGAAGACGAAGCAGCTGAGGTTCCATACAAGGCAAATAGTATGTCTAAATACACCAGTGCAGATACTAGAGGTGGGCTAATTCCAAGACTTGCACGAGGTTTGTTGGTCAAGGCTGTGCTGGACAAGAGCGAAGGCAAGGGACTAGGTGTGTTTGCAGACCAGTTCATCCCAGCTAACACCAAAATTGCAGAAATATCCGGTGAATCTAAATACTTCAATGAAAAAGAAGCTCTTGCCTATCTTGAGTCTCTGCCTTCCGAAGAAGAGAGAGTCTACTGGCTGGCACATGTGTATGCTTACAAGGACAAGATTGCTCTCGATTCCTATGATGTGCCAATGATCAATCACTCTTTTTCGCCTAACATGACCCTTGTAGTCAAAGACTACAATGATGCCTGCATCAATGGGCTCCGCGACATATTCAAGGGAGAAGAGCTCACAGAGGACTATAACACATACCCTGACCTTCCCTTCCTGGACCAATTGATAGTACAGTATGGCATTGTTGAGAATTACTGTAATAATTAAAGTGCAAACCCTCGGCGAACTGCGCATGCGCCATACCGCTAATTGTATGCGTTTCTCCCGCCAGTATATAGCTCGCGGAGAATCTGGCACTGGCTAGCTACAGTATAGTAGATAGTATGCGGGAGAGTCGATACATGCCATTCGTTGTGACTTCTTGTGCCTTCAAGATACACAGTACAGAGCGAGCGGACGAGGTCAGCCGCGCCGCGCATTTATATCCATGCGCACAGCACGAAACTCGGTCCGCGACCGTCCAGTTTCCTAACACGACGACTGTATATAGTCAAAGACTACAACGATGCCTACGTCTATGGGCTCCGCGATATCTTGAGCTCACAGATGACTATAACACCTACCATGATCTCCCCTTCTTAATTAAGCAGTTAAAGGAACAGCATGGCATTGTTGATGAAAAAAATAGTAGTTTAGGCAAAGATGTGGATACGTTTTCAGGTGTACAGAATTTTTCCTATGATGTTATAGACCCTGAAAGATTATGCTGATTGCTAAAACCAAGCCACGCTCTTACCAAATACAATAGTATATAGCTAACAGTGTGTTCACCCCCACATACCGGATTCACAACAATTATATATCTGGACTTAAACACCTGGCACACACCATGTGTACCTGGAGTATAGAGCTATGTTGAGAGTTGCTTGCAGTGCTCACTATATACAAGTTGAAAGGAACACGTGGAGGATGCATAAGCTAGCAAATTTGTTTGTTATTATTAGCAGATGGGAACGAGCCAACATAGTTGCATCTTCTTTCTTTGTAACAATTGACATAATTATGTAGCAAAAACGCCGCACATTTTTGTCGAATGACTGCGAACAAGTGGAAACCATATAGGCTAAATTAAGGGATCCCCTGACCATTATGTCAAATCTGTTACAAGGAAAGAAGATGCAACTATGCTGGCTCGTTCCCATGTGCTAATTATAACAAAAAAGGTGCCAGTGTATCCAGACCGTCTGAAAGGCTATTTTGCACACTACAGGGGTGACCCTGAAATTTTAGGGTGACAAGTTTGTGAACTGCATGTTGGTATTGTAGTAAAAGTGCCCATCAATTCAAAGGTGTTTAGTCCTCCAGTTGCTTGACATTTTAACATTAAAATCAGTTGTGGTCAGTTGAGAATGCAATGAAGTTTAATGAGACAAAGTGCAAATACATGGTAATATCTAAGAGGAGAAGAGCAAAAGAGCCGTATCCAACCTTAACTCTTGGTGGTCAGTCACTTGAGCTGGTAAACAGCTATAAGTATACTTAGGTGTTACTGTCAGTGAGCACTGCAAACAACTCTCAACATAGTTACTCCAGGTAGATACACATGGCGTGCCAGGTTTTTGTAAGGGTTGGGCAATCAGCAATAACTTTTCAGAGGGTTTATAACAGCATAGAAAAAATCAGTACACCTGGAATAATGTCTATAGCTACTAGTTTCCATCACCTCTTTGCCTAAGCTACTGTTTTTTTATATATAGTAATCCTCAACGATGCCATGCTGTTCCATCAACTGCTTAAAGAAAGGGAGAAAAGGACCTTTCATTTACTTTTTATTACAGTAGTCCTCAACAATGCCATGCTGTTCCATCAACTTGTCCAGGAAGGGAAGGTGAGGGTAGGTGTTATAGTCCTCTGTGAGCTCTTCTCCCTTGAAGATGTCGCGGAGCCCATTGGTGTATAGGCATCATTGTAGTCTTTGACTACAGTCATCGTGTTAGGCGAAAAAGAGTGATTGAACATTGGCAGATCATAGGGATCGAGAGCAATCTTGTCCTTGTAAGCATACACATGTGCCAGCCAGTAGACCCTCTCTTCGTCAGAAGGCAAAGACTCAAGATAGGCAAGAGCTTCCTTTTCGTTGAAGTATTTAGATTCTCCGGATATTTCTGCAATCTTGGTGTTAGCTGGGATGAACTGGTCTGCAAACACACCTAGTCCCTTGCCTTCGCTCTTGTCCAGCACAGCCTTGACCAAGAAACCTCGTGCAGGTCTTGGAATTAGCCCACCTCTAGTACCTGCACTGATGTATTTAGACATACTATTTGCCCTGTAAAATGATGGAACCTCAGCTGCTTGTCTTCGCATCAATTGGGGAGCGGGCGAACGTGATTCTACGTCCGTAGCTAACTGCGCATCCGTAGCTACTGCCTATCAGGAGGCCTCAGCACTAAGACCCGTGAAATTGAATCCATCTTTACCCCTCACTGTAATTGAGTGGAGTAATTGGGCTTCCGTTCCTTCCGGGGCGGACCCTCTACCAGCTGGCCATCGTACGAAATTCATGCTTGGCACAGACAACGGATCTAGGGGCCAGGGGACTAGGGGGCAGGGAGCACGTGCCCCGCCGCTCCGGCCTGTGGCGCATGCTGCTATGAACCCGGTCAAATGGCGACTAAGCAGGATGCGTCGATCACCAGCTTCTTTCCTCCTGTACCAGAGCGTATAGAGCTCAGGAACAACGCTTAGTTTCCGCTGAAAACAACACGCAGGATTCTGTGGCCCAGCATATGAGCTTATTTCGCCCTTAGACTGAGGTGACTACACCGGATGACACCGACCGGCAGTCCACTAGACATCGCTCACTTTGTCACTGCATCGCGATCCTAACTGACCGTTCCTGATCAGGTAAAATATCGCATTAAGGAGAGGAAGCCTCCACTGAACGCCATAAAAACTACCTCGGTAATTCCATCAGACTGAATTTTGGCTTACACAGTTCACCATTATATTTGATCATCTTATTTGTTCGTAGCCCCTCTCTTCCTTCCTATCCTATTATTTGTTGTTTGTCACTTTTTTCTTTCTTAGTGGGCCAGTGGCCAGTCCAGGAGCCCTTTAAGCCCTTGGTTGGCGACGGGACATAGTCCAGCTGGTCGCTGGTCCACCCTTCTTCTTCATATTCTTCATTTCCTCATTCCATTTGCACCTTTTTGGTGTGTAATAATAAATAAATAAATATTAACCCTCGGTGCTCATGCGCAGCGAGGGTACAGCGTTAGTATAATTATATTCCCAGCAAAACATACAAGGACAGCAAGAGAGGAAGGGTGGAACCTACCAAAGGTGCTGTAACCGCGAGTGGTTTGACTTTTTGTCTTACTCTAGGTCTTCGCAGGGTCCTCTTCCCTACTAGCGGTGCACATGAAAGGGCATCTCGGGCCCAGTACCTAGTAACAAAACCATACCACAACTGGAAGGATGGAAAAGCTGATTTGATGGCTCATGCACAGTTACATTACCACCAAGGTGCTGGGGCCAGGCTCAGTACATTTGTATCGACCATGGAAAACCCTAGTCTTCGAGTTGACTTGGCAGTTACTTACGAAAGCCAGAAGCTTGTGAAAAGTTCTGACCTCCATCATTAAATGTTTGGAGATGTGTGGACGGCAAGGAATTGCACTTGGAGGCCACCGAGATGATTCAACTTCCGATGATATCAGTAAGGGAAAGTTCCGTGCTCTGGTTGACTTCAGAATAGTGACTTCAGAGACACTGTATATATTATTGAAGGAACTTTTGGAAAAGCAGTGTGCAAAATGCTACTTAGCTACTTATCCAAGACATCTCAGAATGAAGTTCTTGAGTTTATCGGCAGTAGCTAACATCCTGACCAATGATGTGAAAGCAATTCTTTGGTTTTGCAGCAGATGAGGTGGCAGACTGGGAGCAGCTAGGGCTGGCCCTTCGCTATGTAAAGGATAACATGCCATTGTAGAAGAGACTTGTAAGTATTTTTGCTTGTGAAAATGTAACTGGTATAATATACTTCAATCTGTTCCACGATACTTGAGGCTCTTGTTTCTTTTGGACTTGATGCTACCTTTTGTCGTGCACAAGCTTATGATGGGGCAGGCTGCATGTAAAGCCAAGTTCCGAGAATATGTTCCCAAAGCTACATAATTATTATCACTGCAGCAGTCATCAGCTAAATTTGGCTCTTACACAATTCATACAGTCTATGTTATCTGATCTTAAAAGCAGTGGGAATATTTTTCAAATATTATCCAAAGAGACAAAGGGGATTAGAGCAAGCAGTCATAAAAGTTAATGCCAAGAGGAATAATAAAGGACTTTCACCATTGTCTTTTAAAGCAAAAGTGATGTGTGAAGCACGCTGGGTAGAACGACATACTGTGCTATATAGCAGAGTTTGTAGAGATAATATAGCTATGAGCCTATACTGTTGTTTGCTTGGAGGCTATTGCCAGCAATTCTGATGGTAATTGGAACTCCAAGAGCATGACTGAAGCAAATGGACTTCTGAGATCCATCTGCTCTGACCAATTCGTTGCAACCTTCCAAACTAACCTTTACTTCACTGGCTATACCAAGGCCTTCAGTTGTCTTCTGCAAGGATCAACACAAGGTAATATTTTGACAGCCTACAAGGAAGTTTAAGTTGTCAATGATGTTTTAAGGCAGAATTCAGAAAGGGAGCTTGAGAAGTATTATCACTCAATGTGTAAGATGGTTCAGCTGTGTGACATCAGTGTTGAAGCAGACACCCCTCAAGGCGTGCAGTTTTTGTAGCTACCCTTTGTTGATCACCTTCTATCTGAACTGTCAACAAGATTCATCCAACTCAACAAGAAAGCCGCCCAAGGACTTCTGCTTTTGCCTCCAAACCTAACTAGCCTCACGGATGAAAAGGTAGTAGAACTACATGAGCACTTCAATGAAGACTTGCTTGCACCAGAAGTCTAAGTCAAGCTGTGGAAGCAGCGATGGACTGTTGCTCGACACCTGTGCCTCATGGCATTAGTGACACTCTGGAACAAATAAACAGCAAAGCCTACCCCAACATTTCTACAGTGTTAAAACTGCTGTTGGTGGTTCCAGTTACAGCTGCGACTGTAGAGAGAGGCAACTCAGCATTGAAGTATGTGAAGAATGAACCGAGGAGTACTATGGGACAAGGTCGCCTTAATGCACTCATTCTTTTGTAGCATTGGACTATGATGCCATTATCACTGCTTTTGTTTCAAAGCGTTCCAGGAGAATGCTTCTTCAGAACCCTTTGGCCAGTGGTTGTATCATTATAGTATGCACGTGCATCACTCTGAATATTATGTGTTCACCTTTTTTCTTGAATACCCAACTTAGATAAAACCATGTCTCACCTGGAAAATGCATCAATTTGTGCTAGCCTGTTTTATGCCCCAGATTGCCTTTTAGAATCCATCTAAGGAGGGCTAAATTTCAAAATTTTCCTGGGGGAGCATGCCCCCAGACCCCCTAGATTGCACACTTCTATTAAGTGAAAACAACAGTGTGCCCCCCCCCCCCCCTTTCTCAATTCCTGCAACGTGCTGTTTCATAGAGCACTACAGCTGCGCTATCAAGTGCATCCAGGTATTATCCACTGCTCTCAGGCTTCCGCATTGAGACAGTTAATATCGTTTATCAACCACGTGGACCAGGCACTCCTAACATCAGTGTTGGAACAGCGACAACAGCTGGTGGTTTTTGTGCAGTTACCGTTGGTTGGAACTATTCCCGCCAACAAACCATTGGTATGAAAGTCATTGGATATAGTGCCAACTCCAAGTGGCTTCTTAGGTACAAATTACTCTCATTACAGGGACAACTCCCTCTTTTTTCCACACTGGGTGGAGACAGTTGGTGGAGGGAACCCTGAGCAGCTGTTTGCCATCGATCACGGCTTTCTCACTGTTCGTATCCATGCTTTGTTCACACCCTTTAATTGATGGGGGTCTGGTCGTAGATAAGCAAGCTGGTAAGTTTTTGTCGGCTAACTGTGTGTGGTCTAAAGTGGCTGACTCAGCCCAAAGTGTTGTCAAATATTCGGCCCTGAGTGCAGCCTGGAACACCTTCGCTTTTCCTGCCAACAGGAACTTCCTGAGTTATTTTATTGCTCAGAAATTTTGGACTAGCTATAATAATATTCTTTAACCTGTTTACAAGTTATGCATCTATTTCCTAACATTCGCAGTTCCTATATAAGTGCTGTCATCTTTAGTTCTCACTGTTCTGGTTTTGTTGAGTGATGTTATTGCTCAGGAAGTTTGGGCTATAATTATTCATTAACTTGTTTACAAGTTATGAATCTATTTCTGATCTTTCCTAGTTCCTATATAAGTGCTGAATCATCTTTAGTTCTCACTGTTCTGGTTTTGTTGAGTGATTTTATTACTCAAGAATTTGGACTATATAGCTATTCACTTAGCAAGCCAAGGACATAGCTATAAAATGTCCAGTGTCTCCATAAACCCATAAGAATTCATAATACTAAGTGTTAATATGTCATACATCAATTTCTCCCTATTTAAGGAGATACCCATGGCGTCCAAAGGGTTAACTTGTTTACAAGTTATGAATCTATTTCCGAACTTTCTTAGTTCCTATAATAAGTGCTGTATCATCTTTAGTTCTCACTGTTCTGGTTTTGTTACATATATTGTATTAAAGTTGAAAATCCTTTTGGGTTCTCTAATAACTTGCTTAGCTACTACTAGACTAGACTGCCAGCAGGACGTTTTCCATGTAAATTGGCCAGGTGGCAATATAAAGCAGCTAGCTACTGCATTATCAATTTGCGTCAGATATCAAAGCGGAGGATACAAAAAAGTATACAGCTGAAGTTTATTCATCCCATAATTTTTACTGGACAAAGACGCAGCAACTGCTATAGCTACGTATGTCTAAATACAACAGTGCAGAGAGTCTAAGAGGTGAGCTAATTCCAAGACCTGCACGAGGTTTCTTGGTCAAGGCTGTGCTGGACAAGAGCGAAGGCAAGGGACTAGGTGTGTTTGCAGACCAGTTCATCCCAGCTAACACCAAGATTGCAGAAATATCCGGAGAATCCAAATACTTCAACGAAGAGGAAGCTCTTGCCTATCTTGAGTCTTTGCCTTCTGACGAAGAGAGGGTCTACTGGCTGGCACATGTGTATGCTTACAAGGACAAGATTGCTCTCGATCCCTATGATCTGCTAATGTTCAATCACTCTTTTTCGCCTAACACGATGACTGTAGTCAAAGACTACAATGATGCCTACACCAATGGGCTCCGCGACATCTTGAAGGGAGAAGAGCTCACAGACGACTATAACACATACCCTCACCTTCCCTTCCTGGACAAGTTGATGGAACAGCATGGCATTGTTGAGGACTACTGTAATAAAAAGTAAATGAAAGGTCTGAACAAACCCTCGGCGCACTGCGCATGTGCGGTTACCGCTAATTGATGGGTTGGGCCAAGGTTGTGGTCTCCGCGCTAGTAGCCCGCGAAGAGTCTGACACGGGCTAGCTACTACAGTAGTATTGACATGCGGGAGTCGTTACACGCCCTCAGTCGTCAGTTCTTGTGCCTCCAAGGAACACAAAGCGAGCGGATCAGATCGCAGTAAGGCAGCGCGATTATTTTCGGTTGCTTGGCACGGCATCATGTCCTCGTTTTCAGGAAAATCGCATATTTGTAAGTTCTGAAGTCGTTGATTTCGGGTATAGGCCGCCTCGTAGCCTGTGGTGCCAGAATAAGTGTCGACACACACACACACACACAGACAAACCAAGTGTTGCAAACCCCTTGCTGCCGAGAGTTTAATTACATCCTGGCTGCGAATTGAAAAGCACTAAAGTGCAAACCCTCGGCGAACTGCGCTAGCGCGCGATACTGCTAATTGATGGGCTGGGCTATTCATGCCTTTACTCCGTGGTCTCCCGCTAGTATATAGCTCGCGGAGAGTCTGACACTGGCTAGCTACAGTAGTATATAGATAGCATGCGTGAGTCGATACACGCCATTCGTTGTGACTTCCTGAGCCACCAAGGCACACAGGAGCGACGGATCAGGTCGCGGTAAGCCCAGTGCTATTATGCATATTGGCTTTTTCGCTTGTTTTCAAGGCATAATATCTCTCGAACGCAATCGTTTCAGGGAAATCGGCTAATAATATTTCAGGTTCGGGTAGTTATGAAGCCGTTGGTATCGCTCATTCGCCACCCCGTAGCCTGTAGTGCCAGAATAAGCGTCGACACACAGACAGACAGACAGACAGACAGACAAACCAACTATACCGTAACCCTCGCTGCGCATGCGCGCCGAGGGTTAATAATTATAGGGATGGCAAAAAGAAAGGGAGACAAGATAGGGATGGGATATCTATACATGAAGCTGACACCCCTGACCCCTATCACACAATCCCTGTATAATTATGTGACAGGCTCTGAGAAAACGACCCTTATGGCGCAAATTAGCGAAATACATTTTGTGCGCTAGACTGAAAGTCCTATAAATGCTCTATAGTTTGCCGTTTGTTTCAGGGGAGTAGCCCGTTCCGTTGCGAAGTTATGAGCTCAAACGCAAGTGCCATTCCGCCGCATCTAACGTCGCGTCAACTTCCGGTGTACCTCCGTATTCTCGTAACAAGTCCGTGTTACGACATGCGCGCGCAGGACAAGCAATACTCTCTAGTCATGGGTTGGATTCGCTGCCGCCTATCATTCTCTATACTCCAATCTGCTATCCTCTGCATCCGAGGAAGTAGATCCTCTCGCCACCGCCCCAGTCAGTGAGCTCAACATTGAACTTGCTGCTGCAGAGGGACATGTTCCCTCTGATATGTAATGTCTCTGTTTTTTTGTGTTTGTTTTGTTTTTTTGTTGTTTTATATATACTGATGACGTTTCGCCTACCAAAAAACATTGCGCGCGCGCGTGCATCCGGCCGCATTCGTAAACGTAGTAAAGTGGAATTCCGTGACTCCGTAAAAGGTTTGATTATTCCCCGTGTCACGTTTCCTTGTAATTCCGCGTAACGACGGCGGGATATCATCCAGGCGGGATATTATCCAGGCCATAACTACGGAACGGAACGGAGTTAGTGCGTCAAACTTGCGCAGATTGTATATAGACGATAGACAGAGGTACTAGAATAAGCGATGTTGTCGATGACATGTAGTAATTAACGGCCATATATAAATTCATCCACAACATCGCTTACGTGCCCGTGTCTTCGCCGGTTGCCACTAGCCCGTGGGCAACTAATGTATCTGATAGCTCGAGAGTTAAGCTCCAGAGTCAAGGCTGTCTCTTCATAAGAACTTGCCACTCTTAAACTCCTTATATAATAATATAATGGTGCTGGTTACTCAGTGGCGTGACTTTCTAAGTCCTATGGTGAATGTTTAATACTTCACCAAAGGCAATATAATTATAGGGATTGTGTGATGGGGTCGGGGGTGTCAGCTTAGTGTATCTCACCCCTATCTTGTCTCCCTTTCTTATTTAATTTGAAGGATTTTAATAATTAAATACTTGTCTCCACTCATTATACTACTATGTATATCTCTGTGAAAGGGGGCAAGCCCCCTATAAGAATGAATAATAGAGAAAAATGCCAGTTGTCGTCATGGAAATGATGTAATACACATGTGTACCATGTTTCATCTCCATGTGTGCTGCCGTTAACAAGTTTGAAGAGTGAAGCTATTTGTTGGTCACCATGGAAACGATGTATTACGTATGTGTACCAACCGTTTGCAAGTTTGAGGAGTGAGGATGTCATTTTAAAGAAAAAGGCCATTTGTCGTGTTCAAACAATATGTGGTTGTGTCACGCCGCCGCCGCCTCGACACAAGCAGGCCAACGCTGACTTTTACTCTATTATCACATTACAGTAGCATACACAGTAGTAGAGAGGAAGAGAGACATGAGCGCTAGCAGCTCCACACCACACACACGATAAACATGACTCGACTAACTTGGCTGTCACCAGACAGACCGGTTTTACAGGACAGAAAAACGCGCGTTACATGATTATACGTGCTTCCATTTGTAGTCCAACTTCAAATGAAAAGCACTGAAGTGCAAACCCTCGGCGAACTGGGCATGAGCGAGCGGTATCGCTAATGGATGGGCTGGGCTATTGGCGCGGTCTCCCGCTAGTAGCTCGCGGAGAATCTGACACGGGCTAGCTACGGTAGTAGATAGCATGCGGCAGTCGATACACGTCCTTCGCTGTGGCCTCCAAGGTACACAGAGCAAGCGGATCAGGTAGCGCGTTGATCGTGTCTATACGCATGCGCACCGCTTAAGTATGGGACAATTTTTCAGTGAGCTTGCTTGCTCGAGATATATTTGCCGAACGTTTAGGCATCCTTTCTCCGGTCATTTGTTCATCTTGCGCGCCTCCATCAGGTCGGTATTCAACTGGCATTTCGACTGCCGCATCCGCCCCTAACCGAGGGGTTCGACACGGGTGGAAATCTCGTAAGATTATAGTCAGAAATCCATAGAAATCCATTTGGAAAAATCAAAAATCAGCGAAAAAGTGGAAATCATAATTGCCGTCGTGCGCGTGATGCTTTTCTACCCCGTATAGCTCCGTTCACTATAGTATATGCAAGGCCGGCCCCGCTGCGGCGCACACGAGCCGCGATGCGCGATACGATCTGGCCGGGCGTATTGTAACACAATTCGACCGTACACAGTCGACTATAACGACGACGAGGTCACAAACTTCCATATTATGGTTAAGACAGTCGTGTTAACGTCTGGTGTGGGTTGTTGTTGGCGATGGATGTTTGCTGCTGGTGTTTTTTGTTTCGCAGACGATATTGTTTTGTTGGCACCCTGCGCCTCAGCTCTGAGAAAAATGCTGTCATTGTGTTCTGCATATGCAACATCACATGGTCTGATTTTCAATACTGAAATGATTCAACTAATTTGCTTCAGAAAATACGCTCATCCTGTTCCAGCTGAAATTATTGAGTTCAACGGTGTTCAACTTAACTTTTCAAACACAGTTCTACATGTGGGCCATTTAGTCACATTTGACCTTAACGATCAAGAAGACATTGTTAGAGTTGCCAAGGATATTAACCGCAAGGCTAACTCTATGATGTGTACTTTTGGTTTCTCTGACCATTTTGTGTTGACTTACCTTTTCAAATCATACTGCCTTTCTCTGTATGGCTGCGTTTTATGGTCCCTATCCTCCCATGCTCTAAAACATCTCCAAGTTGCAATTAATAAAATATTACGAAGAATTTGGCACCTCCCCTCGAATTCCCATATGTCAATTGTCTTGAAGACTGCCAAAATCTCCTTTTTGCATAACATGATATTAAATCGCTTTGAAAAGTTCATCTCTCTCTGTATGGAAAGTGATAACCCTGTTGTCAAGTATATAATTTTTGACTCTGTTAATCTTGCCTATTCTTCAATTGGTTACAACTGTTTGTACGGTCATTTGCATGTAAAACATTTCACTGAGCATGATTTGTATGTATCTAGCATTTATATATAGACATATTATAATATATGGCACACTACCCCATATATCTTTTTTCATTATTCATCCTCTCTCTCTTCATTTGCACCCATTGGTGTGTGTAATAAATAATAAGACGTCGACGTCTACTGGGACGTCGCCCACACGTGGGACGTCGCCCACACGTCCGACGTCAATGGGGCTTCATCGTTAGTGCCCCAGACGTTGTCGCTGCGCCTCAGACGTCGACGTCAGTGGGACGTCGTCATTATTGCGCAGACTTTGACGTTATAACGTGAGGTCTACGCCTGTGTACAGTCGAATTTTGTTACAAACGGCTTGCCATACGGCCGGCACATCACGCCGCTACCGCGGGTGCTCGACCATAAGGTGATGTGTTTATACCGTGTGGCTATGCGCACACTATAATACAACGCGATCGGCAAATCTGATAATCTTATATGAGCTACGGGTGGCGAGCACCTAGTGAAAAAAAGAAAAGAGGAACACTCTCTACAGTCACTGTCAGTAGCCTAGAATGGTGACCAGTGTAGACCCTGCGCCACGGCGCCGTGACTCAATAATTAACCCCCCAAAAGGTCAAAGTTCAAAGTATTTTCTGCCCTCTTCGATACAATACACAATGCGTGTTACTATACTGTAGCCTCTAATGACAAAAATAAAGTAAAGCGGTAGGTGACAAGAGGCAGAAATGGCGATAAATGAGAAATTTGCACTGGTGAGTAACAACTTCATGAGCGTGATAGCTTCAGCAAGTTCGAACAAGTTTTTGTTTTTTGTTCTTCAGCCCACGCCCGCCCGCGAGAGCGCGAGGGGCCGGGCGTGCTGAGAGGACTTCGTGATGTTGGACTACGTAACGTATAAGTACGTGAGGCTCAGGGACTCGAGGCTGGGTGCTCTCTATTACATTCTAGCCTTCCTCATCCTCATCTACAGTCTCATTGAGATATTCCTGCGCAAGGGATATTTGCAGGCATGCATAGCTAGCTATCTACAGAGTTGTGGTATCGAAATTAATCTTCTTTTCCTCCCCTCACTCCCTCCTATTCCTCCTACATTGTCCAAATGCTCAGTTGGATACAAACCCACAAGGGACTGTCAAACTCATTCTGTCTGATGACTTTGCTGACGAGTCATCATCCCCTGTCTCGGCCAACCAGCCATATTGCCAGGGAGACATTACCTGTCGGTATCTTGACCCTTGGGATCTCAACTGGCCAATAGGTAGAGACTAACAAAACAGTAATCCAGTCGTTAACCCTCGGCGCGCACGCACAGTGAGGGTTACAATGCTTGGTTCGTACAGCGGTTTTCATGCTTCTTGCACCTTCAAAGCATCAAGCGGTGTGCGCATGCGTAAGTTTTGAAAACTTACAGCGACTTGAAACTGCAGGAGCTATTCACTGTTCAACTCTAATAGGCTCGCTCTTCTGTTGCTGTAAACTGAACTTACCAGGTGTCGCACGGTTTGCACTTTAGTGCTTTTTTCCGTTGAGAACAGTTACTTGTCCATACCTGAGCCTTTCACACACTTACTATTTTTACTATAATTCAAACATTCTTGGCAAGGGGGAATTTCAGCGGTTACGCAACACTTACACATTACGGTATGTGTAACAGTCAATAATCAGATGGCGCTACAGTGGAACCTCCGAGTGACGGACACAGTATGGGGACGAACGTTCTGTCTCTTCCTTGGAGGTTCTACCCAGTACCATGATTATCAATGTAAACCACATAAACCTATCTATCAACTGGAACTCAGCAGAATGCCTATAATATTATATAGAACTGTCTATAACTGGCTGGCAAGGAATATCTTTTAGAAGGCAAGGCTCTTGCTTGTGAATTATTTTGTACACGTGATAGTCAAGTTTGTCCATTATTCGGAGGTTTTGTCCATATCTTGGAGGTAGAAATATGTGGAGTGTATGTGGTTATCGGCAGGGGGGGGGATTGTCCATTATAGGGAGGTTGTCCTCTCTTCGGCGTAGTGTCCATTATCAGATGTTCAACTGTATACGAGACTTGGTTCGATCACCAATTTTATTATTCTGTGGTTTCTATCCCTATACCTAATGTATTATCTTGTTGCCGACATATCCCCCCAGAATCTAGAGCTCTGACAATCACAACCCTCTCCAAGGACAGGGTCCAGGAGCAAGTCTCTGACACCAACAGCGGTGCCGATGAGTACGTAACTAAAGAGGAGTCCCAATACTTCACACAGGTATACTCAACAAAACTATAGGTGAGGGACCTATCCTTACCATGGCTCCTGGTCGGAGGCTAGTGATTGCAGTTGAACCACCGAAGAAGGGACACTATGGGGCCAATGTTTTGTCCCTTGTAGAGAGGTCGTCCCTATCTCGGAGGCCAAATAATACTACACTAAAGAATTAGCATGGGGTTGAAACACAGTGTCCTTTGTAGAAACAAGTGCCCTTTGTAGAGAGATGGTCTCTATCTCGGACTGTAGCACTGAAGTAGCACACATGATGTGCATAAAACTACAAACTGCACGGTTGGTTCTTGTTGCTTCCAAGGTGTTAAGTGCGTAATGGGGGTGGAAGTCCAGTAGGCTAAGTCATGTGATGCTGTTTTCACGTGTTATGGGTGTGACAGTCTCCAGAAAGAGTTGTGGTGAAGGTTGATCATGCAGTGGTGGCTGGACTGTTCACTAACGAGAGGGGCGGGGAAGTACTGGCTGCCTCACAGAGACAGATCACAGGACACCTGGTCGACTCAGCTGGGAACATTATAAAACAGGTCTCTGCTCCTGGGAAGCCTGACAAGGTGAGCCACTCTTGCATGGTGGAAGCCCCTCGCATCCAGTTTGTAAATTATTATGGTAGCAGAGTAGAAGATAAATGATAAGTGTGAATAATGTTTTTTGTACTTCCCACCGTTGACATAAAGGAGTAGCTATGTATTCCACATTCATGTCATGTGCAAAAATAGTTTATCTTGCCCCTTCTTATCAGTCACCTGTAAAATACATCAACTGTAACATTTTTCAAAGTATTTACCAAATGTTTTTGATCTCTGTCTGTTTGTAGCTGGTCATTGGTGAGCTGCTGAATGCGTCTGGACTCCATTCTCTGGACTGGGAATCAGACTCTGTATCATCTCGAGGTCGAAGCTACAGGGAGAGGGGTTGTATCTTGAGTGTCTCCATCTTCTACCAGAACTGGTTTAACACATGGCTCGGAACTATGTACGACTATAGCTACATGTGCCCCAAGCTTGTCCTGTTAGTGTGCATTATTAGCCAAGTGGCAGAAGCTACTGGCAATTCCCTCATTTCCAGGATAAACTAGGAGATGACTACATGAAACTCTGCTTTTCTGCAGGGACATACAGTATCTGTATAGGGTGAAAAAGGTTCCCTTTATGGACAACAGTCTTAAACAGGTATAATTATACAGTACGTATGTTGCGTAGCTCTCTCTGATGTGTGACGAAATGTTGTATAACTGTTAGGTGATCCCACTGGCTGTGTCTGAGGGCGGTCGCAAGAGAAGGCTGGTGAGGAAGATGTATGCAATCAGAGTTGAGTTCCACCAGGCAGGAAGTTTAGGTTTGAGTAACTTTTCAATTTCCATTTCTTGCCTTCTCTATTATTATCACCATACATATACAGTGTACCAAAAGTTTCGTAGGCTGTGAACAGATGTAGCTAAATCGCCAATCCACAAATTTTTGCCCTCTGTAACCTTGACTAACATGAGCTCTAGTTTCCCACGTGGCATCAATTTAGACTATTATTATAATTATCAGGCTCACCATCCAATATTGAAATGGGCACCTTTTTATTGTGGGTCCCTTTTTAAAATTTTTGCATTACACAATAGCTAATGTTTCTCTGCAGGAGTGTTCTCTCTATCGGCTCTTCTCATTCGTCTTGTGTCCGGAATCGGTCTCCTGACCTTGACAGCCACCCTCACCGATACTCTGGCCCTCTACGTCCTCCCCAATAGGAACAACTACAGGAAGAAGGTTTACGAAGATGTAGCCAAGGCTTCAGAACACCAGAAGACCAACTGATTGTGGTTAATGTGATTGTTTTCTGATGCAAATCACATGATTGAATTCTGAACTACAGTACAGTGCCAGCTAGTGTATAGTGCATAATGGTGTGTGCGCATGCGCGGGGTAGGTATGTTATTATTATACCCCCGCGCCGAAACATGGACGGTGGTTTTGAAGAGCTGGGACCTTTCGTCTTGAAGGACGTGCGATCCACTGGGGAGAAAATAGGCTTCGGTGCGTACGCGAGCGTGGAGAAGGTCTGCATCCCTGGGGCCGTATGCGCGGCCAAGAAAATCCACAGCTTGTTTCAGGACAGGACCGAGATCCCTGCCGAGGACATCCGTAGAGCCGCGGCACCCTTCGTGAGGGAGTGCCGGCTAATGACGACGATTCGCCATCCGCACATCGTCCAGTTCCTGGGCGTGTGGTTTTCCCCGGACTCTCCCCTCCCGACGCTCGTTATGGAACTACTGTGTACAGATCTCCATGGTCTCCTGGAAGAATCCGCACCGCAGACGACGGGTGAACGAATCGGCAAGAAAAAGCCGTTCTTCCCGTTGGGTCTCAAATGCTCCATTCTCCACGACGTGGCTAGTGGTCTCTGCTACCTTCACGAGCGCTCGCCGCCCATTATCCACCGCGACCTCTCGGCAAGGAACGTCCTCCTCACTTCAGGGATGGTGGCCAAGATAGCCGACTTGGGGGTTGCTCGTATCGTTTCGTTCATCAGGGGCCGCGCGAGCATGACCAAGGGCCCTGGTGCCCCAGTCTATATGCCCCCAGAGGCTGTAGCTGGCTATCGTGAAACACCCGAGAAGTCGAGTTATGATGGTACCATTGATATTTTCTCTTTTGGTGTTGTCTCGATATTCACTCTGGGCCAGACATTTCCCCAGACACTCCTCGAGCCTACCTACCACAGGAATGGTATATTTAGGGCACGGACCGAACTGGAGCGACGGGAACACTACATGCAGACAATCCTAGAGTTATTTCCTGCGGGGCATCCTCTCATTACCCTCATAGAAAGGTGTCTACAAAACTCCTGTTTCTTGCGTCCCGACATTCAGCAGGTACTGCAGCTTCTAGACGAGGCCAAGACCATGGTCGGAGATCAGGAAAGTTCAATGAACAAACTGGAATTGATCCAGGCTGTTCATGCCCAGCCTTTCAAGGTTTTATATACCTACCTCCAACATGTATAATTATAGAGGTCTTACAAATGTATCATTCATTATAGGAGAGTGGGTTTTCCCACGTGAGTGAAAAGTCTGAGTTGGAAGAGCGACTTAGAAGTAAAGTTTCTGAGCTGAATCAGCTGGAGGAGGCCAACCAACTGCTCATAACACAGGTGAGTAGCTATAGCAATGAAATGTTGCCGTTTCAATTCCCATTATACTGCCATATAGTTTTCTAAACAAATGCAAAGTGAATGTATACAAACACCTTCTGTGTTTTTTTCACTTTGTAATATAGATGGAAGGTAAACAAGCTGAGGCAAGTAATCTATGGGAACAGGTTGAATCACTGAGAAAACAGGTAATATTGTTATGAAACTTGGTTTCTAAACTTAAAACTGGTTATTTTAAAAAAATATACTGTCATTTTAGGGGGAGGATGATCTCAGGATGAAAGACGAGGAAATGGCTGTTGTGATGGAGAAAAATGGCAAACTCCACGAGCAACTGCAGCAGATGGTAGCTATATATGGCATGCAACCTATAATGCATCCTCCTGGTCTATAGTAGTGGTTTAAACTTACTAGTATGATAATAGCTAGCTAATGCACACCTTTTACAGAAAACCTCCACTGACTGCAAGACGAACTACCTGGAGACAAAACTGACAACAAGTGAAAACCTGGTGGCCGAGTTTCAGAGCATGCTACTTCAGAAGAACAAGGAACTTGAAGAAATGGCAGTCAGTGTTAACTTAACCCTTAGCAAGCCACGGGCATATGCCCAGAGCCTCCATAAGTCCATAAGAATTTATATGGCTATAATACTAGGCGTTAATATGTTATACATCAAATTATTAAGGAGATATATATCCATGGCGTCCAAAGGGTTTTAATTTACACTGGTGCTCTTCTATTCTGTTTCTAACTGTTGGTCTCCAGGGACTGTGTTGAGGACTTTTTGGCTTATGTGTATTCTACAGAGAATTCTGGACTCAAGACAATGTGCTCCAACTCCAAAGCCCAGAACGCGATTTGGCTCCAAACACAAGGCTGCCCAGCCACAGCGGGTAGCTGACATCAACCTTCTCTCGGTGTTTTCTTTTCTCATGCCCTATACACCTTTTTTTAGATTAGCAGTGTTTACGTAGCTATACAGAGAATACCTTCTTTAGAGTGGACATCATTGCACACACACACACACACACCCTGCCCACATTCAGTTGCCTCCAACTGTCAGTGAGGCGTGTGACAAAGACTGCCCTTCGACCACACCCACAGAGTCCAGTAACGAGGTATGTACCTGAGTATAGAGTATACTTTTGCATGATGCAGTGCATTCTTCAGATATCTCGGGATGCACAGTATCCCAGCTTAGAAAATGACAGAAAGGTATGACAGTATTAAAGCTACTGATGCTTATATACAACTCTGTTCTGCTGATATAATTATAATACTAGCTCAAGTTACACTGCACCCTGAAGGCAAGCCTGCCACAGTTTGGCATGACCAGAGGTTCTGCCACTTCGGACCAGAACTTTGCCTACTTCACTCAGCTGGGTTCCCGTGCCGTCCACCGCTACTCCCTCTCTGGAGACACCTGGTCCCTACTACCACAGTGTCCGTATAGGAACTGTGGACTGGCTATTGTGGATGGGGCACTTGTTGCTTTAGGAGGGAGGAAAGCCTGCTCTGACTACAGCAACAAGCTATTGACTCTGCGTATGACACACTGGTTCGAGGAGCTACCTCCTATGACGGTTGCTCGAGACAGTCCGTCACTGGTGGTAGTGGAGCATGGGAGTGGCACAAACATCCTGGTAGCTGGAGGCAGTGTCAGCGACAGCAGATGGACGGCCTCGGTGGAGATACTCAATGGCAGAACTAAAAGATGGTGCTCACTTGTTGATCTTCCAAAACCACTCGCTTTCCCCTCGGCTGCACTACGGCAGACGACCACCAGCGGAACTCTGCTCCTGTCTGTAGTTGATGCCTACCGAGAGTGCTACGCGTGCTCCCTCTACCTCTCGAATGAGTCGGTCATGGCATCAGGGTGGTCGTCACTCCCAAAGCTTCCTGCATCCGGATCAACTGCCACAGTACTCCGTGGTGAACTAGTGGTTGTTGGAGGTTTGAAGAGTAGCTCATCGTCAGTTAGCTGCATTCACCAACTGATTGACAACCAGTGGGTCCAACTGGGCACCGTGTCCACTGGGACAGAATGTCTAATTGCTTCAACCCATTGTGATCAGCTGGTAATTGTGGGTGGAGACGGTGGGTGTGACAATGTGTGTGTCTGTTCTGTGTAGTTACTAATGACAACAGAATTAATAATAATACTATTGTGGTTCCCAATGCAAAATATTTTATAGCTACCTGGCAAGTTTTGTATTATACATACATGAAGTATACAAGAGACATTCATACATAATAAGGAACATTTCATAACGAAAACAAACATTTCTTTTTCTCTTCAATCAATGTTACAAGTGAATCATCATATCTTTTGTATTGTCCCGGACACTCTTCAGAAACTTCATGAAGTGAGTTCCTCCTGTTCCCTTCATGTCGAGACTGGCATTCACGCTGTGAGCTCGCTGGTTGACAATGTACCGAGTCACCACAGTGATGTGGTAGCTGCGGTACCTCACAAACGCCTCGACCGTGGCGTTGAACTGTTGTATCAAGTCCTTGTTTTGACTCTCAACGACATACTGACGAAGGGGCGGCTGTTCAGCGACATGTCGGAGAAACTGACGATGTTTGCGTGGCATGTAGTCTTCCATTGCTATGATAAATTCGGCGTGGGGCCCAGTGTGCTCCACCCCAATGAATACGTCTATAGCCCTAATTGCTGAACTTTGACCTGCACTGGAACCATAATACTTTCGTGGCTTGGAATCAACTCCCTCGTATATCATTCCGTCCGGGAAAACATTCAGCCCCTTTGTACCGGCAAAGTACGGCCTGATATCGACAAAGAAAACCTTTGGATTGCATCGCTCTGACATACGCCTGAGGGTACGGTGAATGGTTGTGATGGCAGACTCAATGACAGCCAAATGGCCGACCAGAGCCGCAGTGTCTCCTTCCTTTTTGGCACTTACACCATTCCAGATGGCCTTGAGGGCTGGGACTGCCTCCAGCTCCACCTGCACGGCCACCATATAAAACCACGACTCGTCCTCTGTACCCGTGTACGTCACGTTGGCGTGAATGTTATCGAGTTCCATGGGCTTGTCGGGGTCCAACATGTGCCAGTTGTACAGAGCGCTTGCTGTGTAGACTCCGACGAGAGGGACGCCGATCTTCTCCGTGACTCGGTGGAAAGGGACGGAGAGTAGGGCAGGCATCTTGCTCGGAAGCCCGGCCTCCCCGTCCTGCCACATGTAGCCCTGGAACAACATGCTCAACACAACAAGAGCCCTCTGCCACTCCTCGTCGCTGTGCAGCGTCTCCGAGCTGAACCCCACCTCGGGGAGCCTGTGGACGGCCTGTCGGAGCTCCTTCCTCTGTAGTTTCTCGCTCAGCTGATCCACCAGCCCTTCCCACTCTCGGAAGTATGGCGGGAGGGAGGATAGGGGAGGCCGCTGGGGAATGAACCCGGTCTCCTCCGAGATGTCGAACGAGAGGAGTGTCGAGCGAGTCTCGATAGCGGCCATGGCAATGCTCCTAGGTCACTCCGTTTACGACTCTAAAGTCCAAGTCAATAACTCAACTGCCGGATATTCGCTACACACCCGCCATTCCACACCCTCCGAATCTAGCCCACTGTTTCACGCGCTCACTTAGTTTAAGCGCGCATATGGAAATCATCGCGCCTAGTGGGTAACCGCCCCCTACATGAAACCTGCACGAGTCAACGCTTGGTTGCTGCCGCCTCTACTGAGAAAGAAGCGAGAGCCAAAGCGCTTCCTTCGCCCATATACAGAGTATAACCCTTGTGGATACCTGCAACAACTTCGCACTGGCGAGAGCCGGCTTCGTTTTGTACTGCGCATCGGAAGTACAAGCGTATACAAAAAAAGCACCAAAAAGGAAGAAACAAGGGGTCATTACACACCAAATATGCACAAAGCCACATGACACCATCCCTATATCTTTGTTTTATTGTTCATAAGCAAAGTTTAATATGAGACAAAGATATAGGGATGGTGTCATGTGGCTTTGTGCATATTTGGTGTGTAATGACCCCTTGTTTCTTCCTTTTTGGTGCTTCACGCCATCCCTATATCCCCCTTTCATTTTGAAGAAATGATTTTTCCACTTGTTTCCACTATTTTTAATGGCTTATAACAACACTGCGTTTTCAGTCACTCTGATGTTCATGGGTATGTTGTTAAGATAACTGCTGAAAGCAGAAGCTAATGGACTGCTCTTACTTGAAGCAGGGTGTAATGCGTAGTGTCTCCAACAAGGACGCGATTAGGTTGTGGCACATATGGTGGTGGTTTCATTGGGCAGGCTTCAGAAATCAGACTACAATGATAGCTATAACCTGGGGGACTAACGGAATGAAGGCGCCTGGCAAGGCACACGGCGCAGATTGCCAAGTTGCTCCTCGTACAAATCAACAGCAAAACGCAAGCTAGCCACTTACAAAGTGTACACTGACTTACAGAAGGGACTGGAGGATGAGAGTAGTTAACCCTCGGCGCGCATGCGCAGCGAGGTACTGTAGTTGGGTGTGTGTGTGTGTCTGTTACTCTCAATCTCACTTCTCGAATGTCTGTTCGTCCCAGAAACGCTACCATCTACCCAACGGGCGACGAAGGTCAGAAAATATGTGGGGTTTTCTCTGAAAATGCTCCGTTGCAGAGCTAGAGCGCTTCCACCATTGTACGGCTAATGCGTAGTCGGCCATTTTTATCGCTGCGGAAAATGCGCATGCGCTTATAACCTCGACCGGGTCGCCCGCTTGCTCTGTGTATCTTGAAGGCACAAGAAGTCACAACGAAGGGCGTGTATCGACTCTCGCATACTATCTACTACTGTAGCTAGCCCGTGTCACACTCTCTGCGAGCTACTAGCGGGAGATCACGAGTAAACGCATACTAATAGCAGCCCAGCCCATCAATTAGCGGTACCGCGCATCCCCAGTTCGCCGAGGGTTTGCACTTTAGTGCTTTTCATTGGGTCTGTCTGTCTGTGTGTGTCTGTCTGTTACTCGTCATCTCACTTCTCGAGTGTTCGTTCGTCTCACAAAGGATACCACCTACTGAACGGGCAATGAAGGTCAGAAAATATGTGTGGTTTTCGCTGAAAACGCTCCGTTGCAAAGCTAGAGCGCGAAAAAGCCAATATGCAAATACACAACGGCTTACTATGGCATGATCGATCCGCGTGCTCTGCGTACCTCGGAGGCACCAGAAGATGCAACGCAGGGCGTGTATCGCCTCTCGCATGCTATCTAGTAGTGTAGTTAGCCCGCGTCAGACTCTGCGCGAGCTGGCAAGAGACCATGGGTAACAGCTAAAACTAAACCCATCCCAGCAATTAGTAGTACTGCGCATGCGTTTACTTACGCGTGCGCGTCACAGTACGCCGAGGGTTTGCACTTCAGTGCTTTTCATTTTCTCTGCAGGCATCCAGTCCTGGCTTAGTCTCGTTCGTGGACCAGGTTTACGAGACAAAATGCGCGCGCGCCGCATTGGAAACGCCCTCCTCGGCGCATGCGGCTCACTGATGCTGAGTTAGCAGCAAATGGCGTTGTTCAGTGACTACCGAGGAAGAACTCAACGATCTACCGTAGTGACTTGCGGCAAGAAACAAACGATCGCTTGATATGCGTGCACACCTCCGGCAAATTCGAAGACGTTCTGTGAAAAAATCAACGCTTCAAGTGCTTCCGGTAAGGAGCTAGCGGGTCTGAAGAAGAAGATGAAGAATATGATGATGATGATGATGATGACACGAAAATCGTGAAATCGCGTATGAGCGAATTCTCGCGGGGACGATTGAAGGTGCGTATGAGGTCTTGGGGGACATGTATAGGTAGATATGGGCCCGTAGACTATTGCTAGTATGTTTTGAAGGCCTAGGGAGTGATTCTCACCGAGTTTTTAGTCGTTTTGTACGCGGATCACGTGAGATTTCACCCGTGTCATCCCTATATAGAGAGTCTACCGACTCTCTAATAGGCCGTCATTATACACGTACACATCAATATATGGCCAGATTATGACCAAGAATACCGCCTTCGCATACAGTATACAAACCGCCTTCGCATACAGTATACAAACCGGTCGTCTAACGCTTTTCCCTTCTGCCTTTTCAATCAGACTTTCTCTCAAAATTGCTGGCGATCCGGTAGAAGACAACTTTTCAGGCTTGATAGCTGTTCATTCTGCTGCCTGCGGCCGCTGTCGAGAAGCGACCATGGGCCACGAAAACCTATCTACTCGTAGCGTCTTCTCCAAGGGTCAACGTGGTTTTGCGTCAAAACTCCGCCCACTAATCCTCGGTGAGCAAAGCGCCGCGAAAAAGGCATAGGGCCGTTGCCAACGCCCCGTTGCTACGGAAATTTTATGATTACGTAATGATTCAGTGACGTCACTAATTTGGTACGCAATTGTGAATACGCACACAATTAACCCTCGGCGCGCATGCGCAGCGAATGGTAACTTTGGTGTGTCAGTCAGTCTGTTACCACGTTTTCTGCCACCACGCGCAACAAACCGGCCAAAAAGCGACACCAACGGGTTCAGCGCTACACTGCCTTCATTTTCAAAATGGCGATTTTCGCAAAAAGTCTAAAGTTATGGCGTGAAAACCAAGTCAACAAGCCAATTGCTAATTAGCACAGGTTTACCGAGTCCGCTCGCTCTGTGTAAGTATCCTGAGGCACAAGAGCCACACGAAGGGCGTGTATCGACTTCTCCGCATGCTATTACTACTGTAGCTACCCCGTGTCAGACTCTCCGCGAGCTAACTATATAGCGGGAGACCATGAGTAAACGCAGCCCAGCCCATCATTAGCGGTATACCACGCATGCGCAATTCGCCGACGATTTGACTTCCATTTAGGAATGTGAGTGGGTGAGTCAGTGTTTCGACTTTGGATCACTGACTGGTCATAAACAACGAGAGTCGGTGCTATTGGAGCACATGGTCGAGCGGCTCGGGCAATAGCCAGAGCAAGACAAACAACGTCAGGCCTCTCCTATAGCTTCTATGGCAATTTTCCAATGGCAAAAGAAATGGAACTAGCTCTAGTCTATCTTGTCACAGGCAGGAAGGGGGAATTTTAGCAGACCTGTAGCCTCTAGTTATGAACTTCCGGGGAGAGGTCTGCACTTCAGGGAAGTCCACACTCTACTAACTATTTGGAGCAAAAACCTTTTGAGGAATTTTGTCATGAATGAGCCATAGATCCCCCTTTTAATTACATTCATTATTACTGGTGAGAATGACAATTTGCCTATGCTAGGGAATACTTTGCGCCACACTTCCCCGTTTGTATATACCCAACAGGAGATTACACAAGAAAGTTGGCACATATGGCCCTTGTGTTCTCAAAACCAACATAAAGGGAGATTTACGCCAACGTAGTATCAAGTATATATGGGACTTACCCTACTACGATTGTGTATGACAATACATATCATAATGGAGCAACAACAATCCTGACCTCTTTTGCAATCAAACCGAGGGAGGGCTTGACATCCGTTTTAACGATTCCTAGCTGTCAGGTTAGAGTCAATCCAAAGAGCATAGCTAACGTACTTGCTGCACGGAGTAACGGTTGTATATACATAATTATGTTGATGTAAATGAAAATATTGCCTTTATGCTTAAAGGGAAGATTTTACGCCATAATTGCCTTTAGGAAGATTTTACGCCGCTCTCCTCATTTTGTTACCCATTATGGCTTTTTCTTAGCAAAACCACAAGGATAGGGAGTAAAACCCCTACTAATCTGTGTTGCTAATGAGGTGGCGTAAAATCTCCCCTTTATGTACATCAGCTGCTCCTGACACAAGGGAATTTACGCCAACTTACCTTGCGTAAAATATTCCCGTTTTGGTACAAATTTGGGAGAGTGTCGTAAAATCTTCCTAAGGCATAAATCATCCCTTTAGCTACGTCAAGTTCTGCATAACGGAGTCAACCGGATCGGGACGGCTATATGGTTACATTCCGGATGCGGAGAACGCTGTCATACGGGGGACACAATGCGCTAGCAAGCTCTAAAAGAGGTTACCGATTGAAAGGCGTATGTACGTACCTTGTTGGTTTCAGCGAACACTGAAATGTACTGCAATTCGGCCTTCATAATGAGTGCTGCTTGTGTATTCTGTGTTTTTTCTCCGGGATATTTGCCCAGATCCCGACCTCCTGCGCAGACAGGTAGAGTCTTGACCAGATGACATGCTGCCCGGTTACGACTGACGGATTCTGCGCCGTGAACGCACGTACGGCGCGGTGAATGCGCCGCCTCGCAGCGTGCAATCACGACGCCATAAAAGCGGCCGAAATTAGTGTTTTACCTACCACATGAGATCCGGCGCCGTCTAACCTTCGCATACAGCAGAAGAGAAAAGGAAGATGCCTCCCAAACCGGAAAGCGCGAAAGTCGCACCGAAGGATAGCCAAGACCACTGCGAATCATGCGACCCTGGGTCTGGTTCCTGCAAGAATGGAGGATCGTGCTACTGTCGCAGAAACAACATCAAGTGCAGCAGCGAATATTGCTCGTGCGAAGCACAGTGCTCCAACAAGAAATAACTGATGGTCTGGAACCCAGAACAATGATACTTTGAATAAGTTATAACTGATCATGTATAATACTGTCCCGTCATAGTTTACTCCGGTGTATATATAATATATAGTCTTCCCGTCAATTATTTTTCTTCCACAAAAATTATGCGAAGGGCTATTTTCTGCGGCTAACGTAATAAGTGCTCTCATGGTACTATATGCACAGCATCCTCCCGGCCCAAACTGTCTGGAGTACAGCGTTACAATATATCACAATTTGCACACATCTTTACTCAAGTGTGATAAGCTGAGTATAATAATTATAAAGAAAAGACAGTACCACGGTGAGCCTGAGAGAGCTGTTTCCTACCTAGAGTTTTCTCTCCACCTTGTGTATGTTTGCACCTGAGTGAGGGTGTATTGAGTAGAGACAATAGCATTTTGTACAGACCTATGCAGATTCAAGCAGTACGGGATTGAACTTTCCACAGCTGAGGAGATGCGGAGGATTGTGGCGATTTCACAACTGATACCTGAGTCAAAAGATGCGATCAGCAAGAGTAAAAGCAGAGAAAGCAGAGATGGAGTCATGTGCACAAATCATAGCAGCTGGCAGCATTCACAATACCAATGATGGCTGGCGCAGTAGGGGAAAGACATGTTGAGTTGGTGTTCATGTTCTGGGAATGAAGGAACACTGACAGTGTCTGAATCAGTCTTCTTTTCAGGATACGCACAGAAGTGCAAACCGTCTGCGCACTGCGCATGCGAGGTACTGTTAATTGGTGGGCTGCATTATGCTGCTAGGCAAGCAGCAGCATGCCCTGTAGCTAGCTGTGGTATTTGATTTAGCTATTCAAGAAAGTCAGTTTTCCAAATTCTTCTTGTTGTCATTGGTGTTGTTGTTCAGTTTCGACAAGCGTATCTAAAAACCAAGAAAGATACGGAGATGAAACTTTGCACAAAGATCGGAATCCATGACAGGTCATGCAAGAGTATATTATTTTGTTTGTACACAATGTTGTTTAGTAAACAATAAATATAAAAATAGCCCCAGGCCATACATTATGATATAGACCAATAAAGTGTGCTAACTAGGTAAAGCTAATACCAGAGTGGAAAAACTTTGTACACATATGCAACCCATCATTGGTATCAAAATGTAAACATTACAAGTTTGTAAACAACAACAAGAAGCCTCAGGCAATAAAAACTTGTAAATAGTGTAACTTGCTCATGGTGGTTCCTATAACAATGAACTGGTACACTAATGTACTATGACAAGAGTTCATCGAAACATAAATTACAAGTTTGTAGACAACAATAAACAGCCTCAGGCAATAACAACTTTTAAATGGTGTTTGTGCCTCTATGGTGGGTCCTCTAACAATGTAAGTTGGTACACTGATGTACCATGATAAGAGTTAATCGAAACAACAAGTTGGTAAACAAAACAATAAACAGCCTCAGGCAAGAAATACTTGTGAACTGTGTTTGTGCCTATAACTTGCTTATGGTGGCGACCTCTCACAATGAAACTTGGTACACCAATGTACCACGATGAGAATTCATCAAAACAGAAATTACAAGTTTGTAAACACAACAAACAGTCTCATGCAATTAAAACTTGAATGCAATAAAAAAAGGAAAGGTGACAAGTTAATAAAAATCGAATTCAAAAAGTGTGGAATATAGGGATGCCATAAAAAGCAAGGAGACAAGAGGGATGACCTAGTGCATGTGATGCAGTATATAGTACGATGGATGATGATGGTTACATCTTCAAACTGACATTTCTTGCTCGTGTAATAATAACTCCTCACACAAGCCCTATATTTTCGCCACTCTTACTCATGACATGGTGAATGATGTAGTGTGAAGACTGGCAAAGAGATTCTGTACAGAAAGCAGCATTAGTTGAAGGAACATTGAAGTAAATACAGTCACGATTCAAAACTGAGGACCGAGAGGGTATTAGCTACCAGTCTTACGTGCATAGGAAACGAGTCATAGCTGCACATCATACGATAGGGCTTGTGTGGAGTAACATTTACATGAGCAAGCAATGTCAGTTTGAAGATGTAACCACCATCATCCTGCATCACAATCATGCACTAGATCATCCCTGTCTTCTCTCCTTGCTTTTTATGGCATCCATATATTCCACACATTTTTATTTCGAAGAATTTTTATGTACTTGTTACTACATAGCTTTATGCAAACAATTATACGCATTTTTATCGTGGAGGAGAAGCATTAAGATGAGGGTGGACACATTGTAGGTTTTCCTCAATAGTTTCCTCAATTCCTGCAAAACTATAAATATAACTCAGTTTATGGCTGGGCACTCCTTCATGCGCATCAATAAAATTTATGTTCCATGTGCATCCATCTAATGTGTTAATCTTGTACAAGCAGCTTTTCCTTTTCCTCCTAGTTTCCTACATTCCTAGATATTCTACTAATACTTTGTGGTCAATATGCCTAAACTGTTTCAGAGAGTTCGCCACTGGGGGTGGATGCATTATAGGTTCTCCTCAGTAGTTTCCTCAATTCCTGTAAATTACTCAGTTTATGGCTAGGTACTAGACGTTGTTATAGTGTGCATGGTTGTAGGAATTGGCTGCTGGGCATTCCCTCATGTGCATCAATTCGTTCCATGTATATATATACATCCATCTAATGTGTTAATCTTGTACAAGCAGCTTTTCCTTTTCCTTGTAGTTTCCTACATTGCTAGATATTCCCTAAACTGTTTCAGAGAGTTCGCCACTGGGGGTGGACACATTATAGGTTCTCCTCAGTAGTTTCCTCAATTCCTGCAAATAATTACTCAGTTTATGGCTAGGTACTAGACGTTGTTATAGTGTGCATGGTTGTAGGAATTGCTCTGAAAGGCTGCTGGGCATTCCCTCGTGTGCATTATGTTCCACTATATACATCCATCTAATGTTGTACAAGCAGCTTTTCCTTTTCCTCCTAGTTTCCTACATTCCTAGATCTTCTACTATTACTTTGTGGTCAATATGCCCTAAAATACATATTAGCTGTTTCAGAGAGTATGCCACTGACTGGGTGTGTTCATTCCTAACAAATGGTGATTGTCTCTAAAAATGCAAGGAATATTGCATGTTATAAGTGACAGAGAATGCTTATTAACATGGTATTATTCATTCCCTTACACAAGTACTGGGAACATTAATGAAGCTCTGTGTTACACAGCGAAGAATTAGCTATCTGTTCCAGCTCTTATGCCATGATATCATAAAGCACCAAAAAGTATTTTTTTAATAGTTGAAAAATAATACTTGTACAAATACACCATCATACACAATGAGTAAACTAGAGTCACATTATAATCACTACGTAATCCACAATACATTTCAGAATATACTATTCATAATGAGACGGAAGGTGACTCCCACTAGTACATATATTATTATGCCACCAGTAGTAATACCATGATGGGCTCCAGAGTCTGTTTGTTGGTCACAGGAACACTCTGTGGGGTCTTGAGTGTCACGCTTCAGCATGCACGATATGGGACACAATTCCTGACTCTCTGGTGGTATACAGTAGTTGTGGGTGGCTTGATAGTTCTCTGGGCATTGGTCGATGCATTCGAGAGTGTCCGCATTCCGAAACTGGCGACATTTGTCGCAGAGACGTGGGCCAGGTCCAGCACAGCTACCGTAGCACGAAGAGTCACACTCTTGAATCGAGGCCGGAGGAGAACCAGCTTGAATTTTTTTGTTCCATGTGGCTACATCCATCTAATGTTGTACAAGCAGCTTATCCTTTTCCTTGTAGCTATATAGTTTCCTACATTCCTAGATCTTCTACTATTACTTTGTGGTCAATATGACATAAAATACATATTAGCTGTTTCAGAGAGTTTTCCACTGATTGGGTGTGTTCATTCCTAACAAATGGTGAGTGTCATTACCCTCGGCGCGCATGCGCAGCGATGGTACAGTAGTTGGGTCTGTCTGCTTGTCTGTGTGTTACTCTACATCTCACTTCACGGGTGTTTGTTCGTCTCACAAAGGATACAAACTACTTAAGGTAGATGTTGGTATTTTGAGCCACCTAAAATTTCTTCTTAATTTTTTCTCCAAATACCGGTGAATTAAAGTGAAATTTATGTTACATGACTATCAAGACATGGCGATTCTAAAAATCAAATCGGTTTCAGAATATATTCATAGTAGGTAATGCAAAATATTTGTTTTATAACCCTCTAAAAGCAGCAATTATGAGTCAGTGATGGTATTATGAGTCGACTTAAAACGTATTCTTTGATGAAGCAAACAGTTGCTCAGTCGTGTTTCACAATAATTACTTAGATATACAAAAAAGCAAAAAACCACAAATTAATTATAATTTGACCAAAACATTCATTTAAACCCTTTGAGTCAGTGATGCAATCATTGTGACCTCTTGACTTTTGGCTATTTTGTCGCAAAAGTAACCCGCAGCACGTGTTAAAATGTGGCGACGATTTGCTGGGCTAACGTCCTTACAGTAGAAGCAGTTACACAGTGTTTGGCAGCTTTTTGGAATATTTACCCATAATACCCCCTGACTCATAATACCAACACTTACCTTAACGGGCAAGGAAGGTCAGAAATTCGAACGGTTTTCTCTGAAACTGCTCCGTTGCAAAGCTAGAGCGCGAAAAAGGCAATGTGCAATACACAACGGACGGCCGGATGGCTTACCACGATCCGCGTGCTCTGCGTACCTCGGAGGCACCAGAAGACGCAACGCGGGCGTGTATCGCCTCGCATGCTATCTAGTAGTGTAGAGTTAGCCCGCGTCAGACTCTGCGCGAGCTGGCATGAGACCACGAGTAACAGCTAAACCTAAACCCAGACCATCAATTAGTGGTACGGCGCATGGGACGCGTCCGCCCTCACGATGCGCCGAGAGCTATTATAACCCTCGGCGCGCATGCGCAGCGAGGGTTACAGTACTTGGTCGGGTGTCTGTGTCCGTTCCCGTTTTCTTGCACTAGGCGCAACAAGATCGCCAAAAGTCTACGCCAACTGGTTCGGCGCTACATTTCCTTGACTATTTTCGTAATAACACTGCGTTAAAAGTTATGACGTGAAAACCAAGTGAACAAGCCAATATGCAAATTAGCATAGGCTTACTGCGACAGCGTCCGCTCGCTCTGTGTATCTTGCAGGCACAAGAAGTCGCAGCGAAGGGTATGTATCGACTCTCGATCCTATCTACTACCGTAGCTACCCCGTGCCAGCTACAAGCGGGATACCACGAATAAAGGCATAAAAAGCCAAGCCAACAATTAGTGGTACCGCGCATGCGCAGTTCGCCGTGGGTTTGCACTTTAGTGCTTTTCACCAAAATATTTTTGCAAGCTAAGTGCTGTGTGCTGCAGTTATCATGGTATTATGCACTCCCTACTGGGGAATTATCTGTTCCAGCACTTATGCCATGAAATCATGAAGCACCAAATTATGCTTGAAACATAATGCTTGTACAAAGGCACCATCACACACAAGGAGTAAGCTGGAGTCACATTATGTAATCCACAATACATCACGGCCTGGCATTCTTCACCTGGCATTTGTGGTTTCACTTGTTCCTGGAGAGTGAGGTCCAAGCAATGGTGCAGGCCACGGGGCGATAGGACTACTATAAGTTCTGCCTCTCCTACTGGGACTGGCATCGGGAGATCCAGACCAGCTGCGGCCTGCCAAGTGAAGAGTTGTTCACCTTTGTTAGATTTTGTGAAGCCAGTAACGTTAGTAATCGTCCGGTTGTGTTTGGAGACCTTATGAAGGGTTGCCATCTGTCATTTAAACCCAGTTGACATAATGCATCCCCACTGGACCTGTCCAACGCTGTCCGTTTGTTGGCAATCCAATTCTCTGCCACAGGAGTGGGAAAGCTTATTGAGATTGAGAGTTATTCAGTTCCACTTTTAAGGTGTCACTGAGAGGAATTCCCTCCGTGTGGTGACGTGGACTTCAATTACTCATTAAGCACCCGGGAGTGTCGTGACGATGGATACTGCACCTGTACCCCTGGTGGTGTCAACTGTAATGCTTCAATAACACCTTCTCACTCTGGTGCTGGAGGAAGGTAAAGCTAGATGCAAGCATTAGTTTGTGGCTGTTTTGTGAAATATTATACACATACTGTAAATGCATTTTTCGAAAACAACTGGCTCTGGGAAAATTCCTAGTGCATCCTGCTGGGCAAAGCGCACCCTGACACCGAGTAGTACCCTGTCACTTACTTATAGAGACAAGCACAGAAAACGTGACTTTGTGCGCACCTACTCTCCCCTTGAACAACGATGAAGTATTGTGTGACTGATCTACAGACTTTGGCAGCTATTATGGTGAGCTCTAAATCTCTGGCCTATACGCGGCAGTGGGTATGTTATGCTTATACCGTCCATAACAACTACAACCTTCAACCATGCGTTATAATCAACAACACATCCACAGTACGTCCTCTCGTCTCCTCTTGAGACTAAGCTCTCGCTCTTCATCACTGGTAGCCACAGTGTGGAGGTGTGTGGGGAACTAGCTTCAAGTCGTCAAACTGATCTGAGAGATCTCAAACCACCGTTATCTTCAGTTGGTATGCCAACCAGTGTGTTAATACAATTCCAATCTTTATAAGCTTGACAAACGATACTACTTTGTTTGTTTGTTTTTTTCCATATGTAGAAGTATTTTACCACTACGATCACGGCATGAGTGGCTTGCTAGTATAATTGCAACCACTGGTGTAAAAGAAATGGTGATGACAAGTTTATCTATCACTAGGAGGTGTAGATCAGGCAGAGTGGGTTCAACTCCCGACCATTTTATTCGAGGTCCTAGAGCACATCAGCATGGAACTGACAGGATGGAATATTTAAAGTTTGCCAACGTCATTGGCAAGTTATGGGCTGTTTCTTGTTCGAAAAACAATTAAGTGTATCAAGTTTCATTGTGGAGAACAGAGCATAAATTTTGCCTGATGCTGTTATACGAACATGGGTTGAAGGTTCTATTATTGTAATTAGTTACAGCACCGTGTGGACATATTATAATAATACGCCAGAAGAAGTGGGATCTGGTTGTAATCCCAATTGTCATCCTACTCAAGCTGTAGCTAGCTACCGTATGCTGTTAACTCCAGCCTTTGGTCTCTAGAATTAACATATTATTATTTCTTGACCTACAACATCGACATGACAGTTAGAGCTAGCTACACCTACGATTTTGGAGTAACATAACAATGCTGAAAAGTATTTAAGTAGCTACCTATTTCTCAGTCAATCTTTCCATTGAGTTCCTGCAGAGTTTTCATGATGTGCTCCAGACTCTGCTGCATCTCCCTGTGGCTCCTCTCTAGAGCGGGAATCCTCTCTTGAATATTGCTCACCACCGACACCATCTTGGTCACTTTCTCCTGTATATATAGACGCCACCTTTCTATATAACACGGAAGACATTATCAAGACTTTCACCCACCCGGCTCTTTCGTCAGTGTCTTTGTCCAGTTCCTCCACTTGGCTTTCTGTGACTCATAATCAATTCCCCCGAAGCCAGTCCCCATTCTCTGCGCAGCCAGCTAACATTCTCTAGACACTTCTCACTGGTGAGATGACCACGGATCAGCCTGAAATTCTCCAGACCCAAAATGTACTGGACCTGAAATAGGATATGCAGTTCCCATGTTAGTATAATTATATCTCTGGTAGATGTTGAAGAGGAGTCTTGCCTGAAGATGAATGTTTGTGAATTCTGCATTTTTCTTGTCTTCATCTGCAGTTCCAACAGCTAAACCAGTCTAATCGTAGGCAAGCAAAGTCTATGGTACGTATGTCACACATGAAGTAGACTGGCTTACCAACATGTTGTTGAATAGAATGGGCATTAAGACAACAAAGGAGATGAAGAGGATGTAGGCCATGGGGGAGTAGAGGAGTCCCCTTCGTTGAACAGAGCCTCGAATCCAGCTCCCCTGCCGTCTGCATGATTGTCTTGGCAAGAGAGTGTGCAGGAGTGGAAAAGCCTACCAGAATTCCTGCATCACCCTATGGGGAAGATAGGCAGTTGAACTGACACCAAAGACTAAAGCAACAGAGTTAAGGAGTCAATATTCAATATTCTGCACATACCAGTACTGCAGCAGATTCTCGCACAAACAGCATGTAGAAAGGAAAGGCAAAGGCCAAGATGAGCAGTATCGGGAGATAGATCAGGAATAGAAGGTGGCAATGATTCTCAGAAGCATACTGATGTACACCCCCAAAACGGGAGACCCTTTAGCAGGAGAACTGCATTGAAGTAGGCTCAGGAACACGGCCAGGGCTCCGATCTGCCACTGCCACGGTTGAGTGCACCAACAGTCGTGGCCAAACCCAGACACAAAGATGACAGTGAGTAGAAAAACTCCGACCCTAACAACCAGTTCAAACCAATAGTAGAACGTGTTCCAGTATTCTCTCATGATGTATCTGAAGAAGACTTCGAAACACAAGAATCCAACGGATAGCAGGATCAGTATGACAGCCAGAGTTAGAAATGCAGCTCTGTTAGAACCACTCGGACCTGCACAACACGTTTCACATGCAGCAACATTCAGCTTAGATAGACCGTAGAAGTTTCACTTTACCATTGTCATCTCCATCGGTGGGGATGGAGCAGAATAATCTCTATAGATTAATTCAACAAACGTAGCTATGTACCATTTAAATCAAGCTGAGTGTAAGAAGCTTTTGAGCTGTTGCCTTGGACGCAGTAAAATACGTGAACACATGGAAATGTCACTGTAAGCAATATATTAAACTAGACTTTGCTCACAGAATTCCATCCCCTGGGCTAGGTCGAGGAACACGGAGGGCAAAACTGGTCAGGATGACAAGGAACAGGGTATAAATGAGTATGTATGAACAAAAGAAACGAAATGGCCATTTCCACCACTTCCGGGCAATGTACAGCGCCATCAGTGGATGTTGGAGCAGCTCTAGTCGCTCATTCTTTACCTGTACAACAATTATGTGGATGGCATAAAGTCTACCCTGATTGACGTGTTAATGTGCAAATGACACAATAATATTAGCTCAGTTAATAGCAAGCGACAATGTTATACACTGTGTTGTGCACGTGCTAAGTGCTTGTGCATGTGCCGATTTGCCCAATCATAAAACTCACAAACAATGTTATAAACATCTTGTGCATGTGCCACGATCTTACCAGGTATGCCAGGGGATGTCAGGAAGAAGAGTATTGCGTAGGTCTCCATGGTGATTTAGCATCCTTCTCGGTGTAGTCGTCAATGAGGGAAAAATCATACTCACAGCACTTCTGCTGGCCGTCTTCAAGACGAGCAGGACCCTGAGGAGGATCCACCTCCTTTTCATGAACACATCTTTTCATAGCCAGCTTTGCAACATCTGCAACATCAAAACAAATGGAACAATGAAAAGTGTGCCACTATCATTATGTGGCACACTTCCTGACTGATCAAGTAATCACATCAGTTCTTGCAGCAGCTCCATTACTTCCAGGGTTTAGTCCCTGTGATTGTACTCTGGGCAGGAGGGAGTGGGACCACCCTCCGCTCACCCAAGCATGCTGAGGGGAGGAGCTATGTGCAGGCACAGCAGTCAGAATGCCACTCCCACTGTCCTGGAACTGCCGCCAAAGTCAAAATACGCACAAAGCTCCTTGGATGCAGATAGGCCAACTAGCAAGTGGCTATGTAGCAAGTTGTTGCCCGGCCTTTTCCTAGCGACTACATGGGATTATGTTAGTACAGATGTGACGTAGTACCCGAGGGCCACACCATGTGGCACTCAGGCCCAGGAAGCAACTAGTATATAAAGCAGGGCTGTTTTTAAAATGTTTAATGCTATATATAGTCACCTGGCATGGCTTGAATTAGCAGTCTCATTGGAGTGTGTGTCTTGGTTTCACTGTCACACACTTTCATTGTAGCTTCCCACTTATCACCGTTCTCTTCTGATTGCAGATGGAGTATAATGGCTTTGGCAGCATCCCTGAAAAAAAACCCAGATATTATACAACACGTGAATTGAGCACTTTTCATGTTCTTAAAACACATTCAGTTTGTGGTTATATAATGCAATGAAACAGTGACGTCATTACGAAAGAGGCAGACTAAGGTCAAATGTATGGGAGACTAGCACTAGAGTGTCGGCTGTAGTGATGGTAATCTCATGTGATCAGCATAATACAAAATGCTTCCTTCTAAATACTCGTGGACTACCCTCTAACTATAACAATTTTGTGCCAGTTTTTCAGGACACAAGAATCCTCCCACATTCTTTTACATGGGTATGTTAACACAGTTGTGATGTAATGCCTGAGGGCCGCAGGCCCGAGGGTTTTAGCTATCCAATGTGGCAATGAGAGAAGCCCAGGAAACAACATTACTTAATGTGTAAAAGTGAAACAGCCTTGTGCCAAGAGGGAAGCCCAGGCAGCTCTGCTGCTCTAATAAGGAGGGTGCCAAACATGATAATTATTACAGCTACACACTTTTATTTGCTCCTAGTAAGCAACAAGAATTCTGGTGAGCAAATAACCATTGTGCAACTCCAAGAGTTTCTAATACTTACTCATGTCCACCTCTGATGGCTTCCATAAGGTAATTGTAGCCACACTCTGACCTCACAGTCAAATTTGCGTTCTTCTCTAATCAGGTGAATGATGCACTTGGAATGGCCGTTCTCTGATGCCACCAGTATGGGAGCTAAGGACTCCTGCAGGAATGTCAGGAGAGAATCTCAGCCTCTCTTGTTTAAAACAAACACAATAATTATGGCAGAAAACAAGTGTGGTGGAAGCAAGACTGTAAGCTGGTCAAACGCTCTTGCTATTAGCTATGTTTAATACAAGTCTCGGGATGGTGTGGTAGGTAGGTTCAACCTGAGACAGAAAAACCTGAAATGCCGGGAAACACACGTCTATCCCTGGTTAGCTACCCAGCAAGTTATGGGTTCAAGTGCTAGACACTCTTTGCCACTCAGTACACGAGTTTATGACATTTAGTCTTGCGATGTTGTAGAAAGGGTTGTACAAAGGCTTAGTCCGGTCAGGACTAAGCCTTTTTTCAGACTGAATGTTTTTTTACCCATTCATTGGAATCCTTGCGTGATTCACAGAAGCGCTTTCAACCACCTTTTGAGTGAAGCCTCTTAAGATGGGACACTGGGGACATCAATTTTTCAGAGGCATATATACACCTAATGGGGATCACAGAAGGTACTGTACGAAAAGCGTGGTGGAGATGAAAGCACTAGGCACAGCCAAGTCCTTTAGAGACCAGTCTTGAGCACCCATAATAAGTGTACAGCATCATTGTACCGGGCAACTGAGAGGCATCGATCAAGACCAAAGTGGGTTTGAGGCTACTCAGCACTGCTCAGACACTACAAGAAGGCTGAACAAGACCCAAGACATGACTGCCATGACACGTACAGGCTCTGGATACCATTCATCTGGGATGGTCTTGGTGGGAAGGCTATCATATGATATTTTGAGCTCTACAACAGAAGCATATATATACCGTTTCACTGTCTGGAGAAACTTCATTAATGCTGAGCAGGTATGCCACAATTTCATGCTTTCCTGCCTTTGCAGCATAATAGAGTGGTGTCTTGTCTTCTTCTCCTTCCATGCTGTGGAGGATATAGTTAATCCATAAGCTCCCCATGACAGAAATTATAATAACCCACCCTTTGTCTGGAGGGACCAATTCAGTCACGAAGTACTTGACAACATCCACAGTTCCATGTTCACAGGCAAAGAGCATCAACTTGAGATTTTCCCTTTTCAGCTCATTCAGGTCTTTCTCTTCCACTGAGTCACCCTGTCTCTCGATGGAGTATCCTTTGTCTGCTGCCTTCTTTCTCTCGGCCCTTTGCTCCTGCAAGGCCTGCAAGATCCTTTTATTTATACAACGCGGAGGGATAAGGACCCGTGAATGTGAGTGAAGTGAACCTACCGCACATTTCCATTCATAATGGCCACTTGAAGAGGTGTCAATCCTTTATCATTTCCTTCTAGAAGAATTTGATACACTTTCGGCTCTTGAATCTTAGGAATAACAGACTACAGGGGTAAGAAAAACTGAATAATAGAGCTCTGGAGAGCACATACCCCGCACGGTATTGAGTATTGTTAAGGCACATTCGCAGATAATGCAGTAGGTGGCACAGTGACGCCAGTTTTTAATGATAGTTACTACTTAGCAACCTTACAAACTCACTCAGGCACCTATACCGAAATCTGGTGATATTAGTGCCCCTTGCGTGCATGCGTGCTGGATAATTACTTGCAAGGTAGCTAGCCCTATTTTACTGTTGTATACTTGCTCTGAGCACCACCGTATTCATTCATTTAGACATTGTGTGCAGTGAGGAAGGGGAGTATGAACAAAGGTTGAGTTCATCCATCAGTGTGGGATACGGAGACATAAGTTGGTACACACCTTAAAGATAACGGTATTTCCACTCTCTGCTGCCAAGTGTGCAATGTTGTTTCCGTCATTGTCCAGTTTCCTGAGCAGAAGTTTCTCTCTCTCCCTCTCTTTGTGTATTGCCTTAAAAATTAATAATACTCGGGCAGTTGAACTACTCAGAATCACTATCATTATTACAATAACACCACTCATGTGCCAGAGGGCTAGGCCTGCTTACCTCAAAGTATGTGGCGTAGCTATTCTGCAGTGCCCAGGCCCACATCACCATGGAGCCCAGCGGGTCAGTGGCAGCTCCAGTAGAACCGCTTGCTCTCTCCATTTTTCCCATTAGTATTTCAACTGCCTGTGTAATCATTGTTTCGATAACGATTGAATTAGCCAGTGCATAATCATAATGTGGTTTACCTTAGTGTGTTCATTTTTCGTAGCCAACATGAGTGGCGTCATTAAAAATTCATCAA